TTTTTATTTTTAAGGATGTCTGTGGGATTCATGTAGGTTCTAAAAGCATTTTTGGAAATAATAGGAGCTGCCATCCATATTCCATATTTCATATATCTATATTCCATATACCTGTTTTAAATATAAGAATCCACATGAAGCAATGGAACAGAACATGAATAATTGCTATAAAATATACTGGTGAAACTTAGAAATTTAAATAGAATAGATGGTGTCAGCAACATCTGAACTGAAGGACCTCCAGGCAGAATATAAGATCCAGGTGAACACATTCACCATTCTTAGCTTATGTGAAAGAGAAATTGAAGAGCTGTGGGAAAGAAAAAAAACATTATGAAAAACAATGCAGAAAAATATTTCAAGGACGAAAAGAGCAAAGTGGTTGTCAAAAGAAGTTATCATAACAGACAAAGAAAGATGGAGGATGAAAGCCTTGGGCAACAAAACAGATGTACCATGGCTGAATGCAGACTCTCAATGTCAAACAAAAAAGGTCAAGAAAAGATATCTCAATCAAGAAAATCAACAAATAGAAGGAAATAACAGAGAAAAGATAATGAGAGCTATTTTTAAGATGACCAAAAAAAAAAAAAAAATCACAGAAAAGTTGACAGCTAAGGTAGGGATACTCAAGAATAATCACAGTAAAGAACAATGTCAAACAAAAAAGGTCAAGAAAAGATATCTCAATCAAGAAAATCAACAAATAGAAGGAAAAAACAGAGAAAAGATAATGAGAGCTATTTTTAAGATGACCAAAAAAAAAAAAAAAATCACAGAAAAGTTGACAGCTAAGGTAGGGATACTCAAGAATAATCACAGTAAAGAACTAATCAAAGAAAATGAGGTTCCAGGGAGTTGGAAAGATTATACTGAAAGCCTTCACAAGTGGAGCTGTAGAATATATGCATTCATACAGTTATATACATTCATATATAAAATTATATATCAATTTTAAATATAATTTATTTAAAAGACTTATATGGTTGCCCATCTTATGTATTATGTATCTGAGTGGCTCACATACAATCATGCAAGGGGAGAAAAATGCCACACGAACAGGCAGATTTCAGAAAAAGAAGAGGGACATGAAATCAGATAGCTAACACAGATGTGTGCAGAAGAAGTTAAAAGGGAATTAATTCCAGGAAGGAAGGCAATGACACATTTAGGGCATATCCACACTCCACTCCTGTCCTGCACTGACAGCAGCTTAACTGTAAGCCAGTTTAGTGAAATTCTATCTGATGGAGGGACTTTGGCAATATCTTGCAATGCATTCAGTCTGGACAGCAAGTTACCATGACTTCCCATTGGATAGTTGCCTTGCTGCTGTGCCCTCCCACCTTTCTCTTCCAGAAAAGCAGTGGCCAATCACTTTCCTTCTGCATGTGGGTACTGTGTGTATTCCTAGATAAATATACTTTTATATGGGTATGCATATTATGTGTGTGTGCGCGCACATATCCATGAATACATATGTATACACAGACTAATACACACTTTTCCCTTGACTTTTTAAAAATAAGTTCAGTGATGCACTATTTCATAGTTTTTCAGTCAGTTAAGGTAGAAGGGCTTCACCTACACAGAAAGAAAAAGAGTAATTAAGAAAAAAAAAATCTGCTGCTACTTTCAATTTACAAGGCAAATGTTATATTCCTTATGATATTATAACACACATGATAAAAGCAGTGCTAGAAGACATTAGACACTATGGTAGTCATCAGTCAAAATGGACAGCAGTGTTCAAGGCGACATAAAGGGGGAAAGAACACTTTAAAATTGTAGCAAGAAAATGTGCCCAGAGGTCACATTTGTGATGGGAGGGGGATGCATACAGAGCAGTACAATCCATTCCTGCCCTCCAAAAATGGTTGCTGGTCCCTTCTGGTGAGAGGACCACTAGGCAGTGCAGATAACACCTGAGACAAGATCATGAATGATATTTCTATGACAACAAAGATGAGAATAGCTATGGCAATGGTCTTTCCCGAGGTAACATGGCTATGAAAGCTGGACATGAGAAAACAGTGACAGAAAGAAGACAGAGACCTTTGAACTATGGATTCGAAGATGGTTATTAAGAGTAGTGGAAGAAGAACCAATTGGTCCTGGACAAGCTAAAACTGACTAACTGCTTCCTTGAGACAATGATCAGCAAACAGAAAATCACATATTTTGGGTATCTGATGTTAATGGATGACAGCCCATGCTTGACAAGGTTGAAGGATGTAGAAGGCAGGAAAGTTAACAGAAGAAGTGGATGGATGGGATAGAAAAAACTACTAGAATCTTTTTGGAGGTGCTACAGATTGTTGCTGGGCCTGCCTTTGTTCCTCTAGTCTCCAGGATTTGAGTCTGACTCGATGGCATCTAATTAACTAATCTCCTTCTCTCTCCCCACTTTTCTTTATAGATGTGGTATATGCTTTGCTATATTTGAAAACTATTTTAAAAACGTTAAGTAATGTAGAGCATACCTTTACAAGCTGATGTTTATCGTTAATAGTGTTGTAAAAATATTGCAACGGTAGAGAAAGTCAGATAAAGTAAGTATAGTTTTCAGCTACTAAGTTCTTTTACAAAACAACCTGAGGCAATTTTGGAACGCGGTAAATAGATGCTTTATTAAATATATTTACTTGGGAAAAAATCTGAACGGTAATATTAAGTTAACTTGAGGCTGCAATTGTATGCCCATTTATTTCAAAGAGGTTTCTTTCTGTGTAACGCAATTAGGATTATGTTATGAAATCATGGATAGGTCCTTTACTTAATGAATGTATACCTATTATGATTATTAAAGAATGCATACCTCTAATAATTGAATAGCAAAAGTTACAGTTTTATAGATAAACACACAATCCCATCCTATGCAAGTTTTCTCAAAAGAAAAGTCCTCCTGAGTTCAGTAGGACATTCCCTGTTAAATGGGCACAGGGGTTGACTTTTGGAAAACAAAATCTATAGTTTGTATGGCTAGAACATCCTTTATTTCAAGGAAAAATAGTTAGGATTTCTAAACAAACAAAAGTCAACAACTTTGGGTTTAGTATGTGCTCCTGCAATTCTGTTTATAACCAAGTTCACCTTCTACAAACTGTTAGTTTCTGCTGTTCTAATACCATTTTGAACTTGAAAATAATATTTAGTGAACAGAACAATGGACATTAATGGAAGTAATTCCATTTGTTTCAGTGGGGTTGCTTTTACATGTTGTTAAAATCCAAGGGCCACCTGTGGACTTCTTTTAATCCAATCCCTTGTATACATGAAAAACTGCTCCTGAAATTTAGAAGATGTTCTGAAAGGTATCCTATGCTATATGAAAATCAGAAAGGCCTCTGTACACATGAAAGCACTCTAAGTATGTACAAGTCAAATATCCTGGAAAAAGAATGTTATTGAAATGAATGACACATACTACCAGATAAATATGCTTCCAATCAGAAAACGTTGATCTTTTGCAATGGATAATGACCATTTCTAATTATATTCAATTTTCTTCTTATAAAAACCTTCTCCAACCAGGATACCCTCCAGATATGTAAGTTTCAACTACCAGATTCCCTCACTGCTGGGTATGGTCACTGCTGAAAGTTCTGGGATGTAGTCCACACATCTGGAGAGGATCCAGGTTTGGGAAGTCAGTATTAAATTATGATTCCTAGATTATCATCATGATGATTACTATTATATGGCCTGAAGACAGGATTAATCTATGTTTTGAATGCCAATATTTAGTGGTACATTTACTACAGGGAAACCATGTCCTAATTGTAATGGACCTTTGAAACTTATTCCATGTCGAGGCCATGGTGGATATCCTGTAACAAACTTCTGGAGACATGAAGGACGGTTCATATTTTTTCAGGTTAGTAAAAACAAAAGAAGTATTTAATTTATCAAGAGCAAGGTAGTTCTCATAGACTGATTATATTTTGATGATGAGCAATGCATGATATTGAAAGGGGACCCAAAAAACCCTAATAGGAACAACAATGGAAGAAGACTATGGCCTTTGGGTTCTGCTCAGAAGCTTCCAAAATCTATCTGGTTGGCCACAGTGGGACACCAGATGTGTGGACTCATCAGGTTTTTGTCCATCAAAATGTTCTTAAAGCAGGGGATATTTGGCCTTATGTTCTCATGTGGGGGGTCCAGGAAGCCTTTCTAATTTGAGGCCAGTCTTATACAAGGTGGGTCATACCAGCAACTGCCAAAAGGTTGTTGAAATAAATTACACAAGGCTAGGCCTTCAGTTAAATCCAGGAAAGCTTCTAAACTTCTACCTTTGTTCCTTGATCTGGATAGGCATGACCATTGTGTGCCCCAATTAAATTATTACAGCTCAATCATGTCCTTAATTATTAAAGATAAATTCCATTTGGGTTAAATGGTAGGCACTACAAATTCTTTGGGTCCACACTTCCATCTATAAATCATCAAGGAAAACAAAGATTTGCTCATTTTCCCCTGCAATGAAATATCAGAAACTTACATTAAAATTCAACTACATAAAACACTACATACCACTTTGCATCCTTTACTGAGCTTTCTCTATTGATTTTCAGTGAGTTCATGAAACCAGATTTCTTCCATAACAATTTTCCCAACTTTGAGACTGCAAGGTCCAGAATTCCAAGTCAGTTCAGTGGAGCATAATAATTGGGATTTCTAGGAGCTGTAGTTCTAGAAGGTAGAAGGTGCTAAACTGGATAGACTGCTCATATTTTAAACCTGATTAGATGCTTAGGCATATGATAGGATGGGAGACTTATTTCCAACATGATCCCTGCATCTAAAATTGTATATATTCTTGAAAGAAATGCATCTTAGATCTACTGTTGAACTAAATTGTACCCAAGTGTATTGTCCTATCTAATTTCTGATTTTATTAATTAATTACAAACAAACAGTAACCTGGTCTAGATTAAGTCCACCAAGAATAGAAAGGGGGAAGTCTAATCGTTTATGTAAAAATAACTCACACTTTCTGTGTAATTTTGAAAACTCCATGTATTTTTAATAGTTTTTTTTAACCCATGTAAACGAAGAGGCTGGTAGAAGATTTCTTTCTCCCCACATATGGTGAAGCTGATCTACATCAGGAAAATATCCTTTCAGTTAAGTAAATAAAATGAAGAACTGGAGTGGATTGACAAACAGCTTATGGATCATTTAGTTTAGTGCACCTAGGCCATTTTGGAATTTATATCCCTTTCACCAGTATGGATTACAGTACATTGTAAAATGTTTTTTTTCTTTATGTTACTATGCCTCTCTTCATTTATTTGTTAAGTCAAAGGGAGCTCATGATCACCCAAGACCAGAAACAAAACTGGAAGCAGAAGCAAGGAGGTCAATACAAAAAGCATATATTTCAACTTCTCCAAGACTGAAGAGGAACAGAGAGATGGAGGTAATCTTTCATTTAATCCAATACTCAAATGCCTACTATTATCACAGATGAAGCTCCTGAAGCTGAGAATACTGCAAGGACTCAACATGTATGGGGTATTCGTTGAAGGTTCAGTATTAGTATAGCCTGAGCACAATTTGCCCTCCCTGGAGTTGTGTCCCTGAATTGGGATGGTTCACTCAGTGGCAATCAAATGACAAGAAGTGGCAACCATTTCTTTATATTGTAATAACTCAAAGATGAGTCAAGCTAAGAGGCAGCACTTAGTCAACTCTGGCTGATCAATCAATCAATCAATCAATCAATCAATCAGTAAATAAAATAACCAAAGTCACACTTAGTATTTACATTGGACACCACCAGGAAATACCAGAACTATCAACTGGGAAGTCAAAAAGCCATTCTGGAAGGAGGCAATGACCAACCACTTCCATATTATTTCCAAGAAACCCAAAAGGACATTTATATGGAATCACTAGGAGTCAAGCTCAAATCAAAGGAGACTTTCCCCATTATAATAAGTTATTATTGAGTTAGCGATGAGCTCCCTTAGAAATGAAGCCACACTTTCATTTACCAATCTTTTCCTGGCTTCTGTTTCCTGGTCTTTTTTTTTAGGGGAGAAGATTTTACATTTTCTCATTAGTCCTACCCAGAAAGATCTTATTGCTTGGTTGAAAAAAATGCAGCAGATGTGGCTATCCAGCACTGAAAAGGACAGAAGCCTGCCTTAAGGCTGAGTTAGATGTAGGGAGAAAATGGAGGAAGCAGGAGAAGTGAGTTAACAGCAAAACTTCCTTAGACTTTTATGGTGAAATTGCCCAGCTTCATTCACAGAACTTTAGCTCAAGAGGATGTGCATGACATTCTAACATATTTTCCCACTATTTCCCCCATTTTTTTCCTTAACACAACATATATTCAAAGATTGTGTAAGACCAAATATCTTTGTATTGACTTTTGGTTTCTGGAAAGTGGAGTGATTTCTATCTGTCTCTTGAACTATTTCCATTTATATAAATAACTCAAGGCAGCTCATAACAACACATCCTTGCTGTAATGCAGTATTGACTCTCTTCCCGAGTTTATTTGTACAGTAACTTAAGCATATAGTGGCCCAGTTGGGATCAAGATCATCATCCGGCAGAGGTGAGTGGGATAATCTTTCATCCTTTTCATCCAGGGACCTTGGTTTGCCAAATTCATTCCCTTCCCCATACAGCTTCTTTTTTTTTTTAAACTCCTTGGTACTAACAGAGATTATTTAAAAATGAATCTGGGGTGGGGGCGGGGGATAATGAATGTTCTAAAACAAGATGGTTAATGAAAAGGATTGAGTAATTTTGATCCTGACTGAATCACTGTGTGCTTACTCTAGAGTAGAAAAGTTCAAAAGCACAGCAATACACAAGAGAACTAGTGGATTGGGCCAAAGACTTCATGGAAGTGGTTGGTAATTTCTGACTTACAAAGGCTTTTTTGAGTCATGTTGCAACTGACCTGGAGTGAAGGAAAAGCCAGAGGATGGGTGCCAGTTATGTGATCAGACACCAGGTGAGGGCACTGACTTCAGACAAGGAAAAAAGGGAAGAAAAACACAGCATCCCAATGGCTCAGGAGAGAGGTGGATAGAATTGGGGGATAAAAATAGAACTGGCACTACTTAGATATTTTTTCAACATTTTCCTTGGAGTGTTACATTGCTTTTCAGCTTTGGAAAGGAAGGGCTGTGCAGTACATGCTACTCATAAAGTGGCTTCCCAAGGGAAGTCTCCGGGAGAGTGATCTGTGTGTCTTGTTCCTACCAAAAGAACTAATTAAAAAATGTACACAACAGTGAGAGATAATTAAGACGATATACACATTTTCTAAAACTGCAAAATTGTAAAATGAGTAAATGAGATTTTTAAAGAAAAACCATTGCTCTAACCCAAACAAAGATCTTTAGTAAATAATAGGGTTAACAGTGCACTATTTGCAGGGTTAGAGTGACCAACATTCCTATAGATACAAGGCTGTATGCACTATTTTCAGGATGAATTAGGACATCGAGGAGGAGAGTTATGCTACTGATCTATAGCCTGATGGGAACTTTGCCACCCATGGCTTCTGCTCTTACCACAGCATTGACTGACTGACTGACTGACTGACTGACTGACTGACTGACTGACTGACTGACTGACTGATTTACACCCATATATATGCTGCCTATTCTAACAACTCTTTTGTAACTATCCTGCTTCAGCTGAAGGCTGGACTGAAATCACTTAGATAAGCTCACAAGGAAATCCAAGAACCAAGAAAAATACTTTATTGCAGAAAGTTGAAAGCCTGTACCAAAACCATGTCAGCAACTGAAGTTATTCACAAACTGCTCTTATTTAAATAAGAGAAGGTTCAATCTTCCACATTTAGTTTTTTATCTTGCCCTTCCTAACGGAGAACATGACTCCCTCTTTGCGGCAGGTTGGCTTGGTTCCATCTGGCCTTTGTTTTCACAACTGACAGATTTGCTTTTATCTGAGTTTTCACTGACTATGTGAGAATTAACTCTCACAGTAATTTAGATCATTAAAAAGACAGAAAAGTCTAGGAGCAGGATGACTTCACATAATAATTTGAGCAAACACCCAACTTTTAGAATTCAACTATAGTTTTGCTTTCAGAATTAATTGATCTTTAATATAGCTGAATTATATTATGATGGATTTTTCTTAAGTCCCTGACAGGAGAGATGCAAAGTGATGATACTTTACTGTTAATTGTTCCCAAACATGAAGACCAGATATCGCACAGTAACTTCAGTGGATATTTCAGAGAGAATCCGTCTCAAGAGCTAAATAATTGCTTGACTTTTGCCAAAGGCTTCAATTCCGCAATGTCACCCTATCTAACTGAGCACACTCAAGACATGGGCTACAGCAAATACAAGTACAAGCCAGTTGGAAGCAGTGAATATGATTGTGGAGACCCAGTGGAATTGTTAGCATCTGACTGTTCTGAATACGGGGAACCAGAAAGTTGGAATAGAAACCTTGACCTAGGAAGACATCTTCCATCAATGAAATATGGCAGTGGCTGTTCTACATTTCTTGCGGGTCTACCCTGCGAGACACTGTCTTCCTTTAATACAATTGATTTGAGTCCCCAACATGTTCCTAGTAGGTGGGAATCTTCAGTGAAGGTTGGTTACTCCTCATTTAGATCTACTGGAAATATACTTGGGGAAGATAAGTATGAAATCAAAGCACCCCTGTTCTGTCACAGCGGCCATGTCCCTTCCTCCTTTTGCCAGCTGTCTCCAGAAGATCCTTGCCTTATTGGAGACCCAGCCCATCACTATTACCAGAATTCCTTGCCTGTAAAAGGGAATGAGTGGTCTTCCGAGGAAGACAGAAAGTATACAAATCTTGACCACTGCAATTATGAGAAGTTTTTTAACTTCTTTCCTGTACGGTGAAGCTATTTTATCGTGCCCCCCAAGTAGTGAGATAGATTCTCAACTATTGCGAACGTTGTATTGCTACTTGCTTATGGGTATAGGTTAAGTTACATCCAAATATGGGTCTTCTTTTGCATTTTGTTGTTGCATTTCTGGTTTGGTTGTGTTTTGTAATTTGTGAAGCAATTTGTGTCAAGTATTTCATGGCAAATAAATTGGCTTTATTCTGCCTGCACTAGTAGGTAAATTGTGAAATATGCACTGGGAGTACCACTGATTTGACCCACTCCTCTGCATGCTGTGAGCCCAGGTGCTTCACCTATTTGTGTATCCACCGCTTTTTAAAGCTATTTTTTTCTCTGATTTTTCTCAGAATGACAAATAATTTTTAATAAAAATATAGAACTAATTTTATACAGAATGATCATTTGCAAGTAGAGTGTCCTTGGTATATTATTCACTAACATGCCATGTTTACACCTTTTTGCTTTCAGAGGCAAGACATAACCTAATTTCAAAATGGTATTTTCATATTCTGGAATTCCAAATGCTGGTGTTCATTGCCATTTAAAAAACAAAAAAGGCAAATGAGAGATAAAACATGGCATTATGACTTAAAAGGATATTTTTACACTATAATTTATAGATTGTCTATGAAATTGCCATAATAACCTCTGAATATCACACATTAAAACTGTCCTGATACAGGCCAAATTATTTTTAAAAAATGCTCATTTGGAAGTTGATCATTCTTTGTACGCAATAGGAGATTGTTCCTTTGCTTGGAAAGTGGAGACTAAAATGTTGGCAGAGGCAAACATGGTCAAATCAGCCTGTATATTTGTCAGAAAGATATATTGGTAGGCTTTCAACATTTTACATCCTGGAGGAGGCTACAGTCCTTGAACTGCCACACTTTTATCCTTGGGGCCCCAAATAACAAATGGCTGCAGATGTTATCCTGACACACATTGGGTTGGACGCTGCTTACCATGGCATAACATCACTTTTTGCATCTTGAAACATGTTATAGCTAGGAGGAAGCTGGGCAAGCATGTACATGGTTATAAACATTCAGTTTATCATTCTTGAATGATATATTCCCCTTTTCTACAGGTAGTCTTCAACTTACAACCATTCATTTAACAACTGTTCAAAGTTACAACAGCACTGAAAAAAGTGACTTGCGACTGGTTCTTACACTTACAACCCTCACAGTATCCCCACAGTCATGTGACCAAAATTTGGGTGCTTGGCAACCAGCATGTATTTACAAGGGCTGCAGCGTCCTAGGGACATGTGATTGCCATTTGTGACCTTCCCAGGGGGCTTCCAACAAGCAAAGTCAATGGGGGAAGCTGGATTCGCTTAATGACATGTTGATTCACTTAATGACCACAGCAAAAAAATTGTAAAATCAGGCATGACTCACTTAACGACCACATCACTTGGTGATTGAAGTTCTGGTCCCAATTGTGGTTGTAAATTGAGGACTGCCTGTACGGTAATGTATGTCACCGCCACATAAATGGATAGCAGCATTTTTGGTATGATTTCTAAGTTTAAAATAGAAAACTGTACATACTCAGAGATATAAAAAAGAGCAACGACAAGATTGCTTCGGTTGAATGCTGCACTTGCTCAGGGTTAACCCATGGAGGTTGTGTGCTAGATAAAGATGAAGCGAGCCCTCTTTTTTCTTTTTTCTGACATTTCTCTTTTCATTCCTTCATTCTCTCTTTCTCTTTCTCTCTCTTTCTTTCCCCCGACATAATTTTTTCCCTTCCTAGCAACAGGGTGCAAGGGACAGATATTTCTTCTAAGAAGCCTTAAATGACCCTGCAGAAAGTTTTTGAAATTAAGCCAAAAGCTTCATGCGTACCTAGAGCCGTAGCTGCTCCACTCTGCTTTAACTGACTATTTAGGCCACTGGAACAAGCCATGACAAGGAACGGAATGTTGGGCTCCAGAAGCAACAGTCCGTGTAACCATAAATCCAAGTTCAGTCCTACGAGTACACAGCAAGAGTGTATGAGCTGGCCACGAATCACCTCAGCTAGGCACGGCTACAGAAGGCACATGTTTTTCTTCATCCAGGATGTTTGCATCACCCTGAATCCATAGCTGGTAGTTCCATCAGCCAGAAAAACTTCTGTGTGTGCACTGCTCCTGGAACTGCTGGATGAGACCTCAACAAGAAAGAAAGCATTTTCTGTTTAGACAGGAGGGTGCACTGCTTTGTGAAAGAGCTCCAAAAAGATGCTGCACAAAAACCTTGGTGATGTGATGAATTCTCAACATTTTCAAATGTTTATCTTGGAGTACAGGTATATTAAAATTATTGTTGTTGTTATTTATTAAGTTTATAGACAGCTGCAGTCACCATTGACTCTGAGCGGTCTACATACCCAACTCTATAAATCAGGTTAAAATCATAACAGAAATTACAGTAATGAGATAAGAATAGCAACATAAATACAAAACAGTATAGCTATATTTATCCACTAGGGGACATAATAGTAGAATTGGACAAAGAAGCACACATCATACTGTGAGAGGGAACATTAATATATCCCCGCCCCACGGCTTGCTGGAACAGCCAGGGTTTAGATTCTCGCCTTAGAGCTTCGTCCCATGGACATACATGCATATTACAGTAATCAAGTTTTCAGTTCGTTATATAGTAACCAAGACCTGGTAGATATCCTTTTCTGAAAGTTAGAAAAGAAAAATTGACAGGAACTGGCATGAGAAGGAAGCCTCACCATTTATTCATTTATTCCATTTTAAACTACTCGTGGCCTACTTTTCTATTAAATGGTACTCACTCAAAGTGGAGACCTGGAAAATGGTGAAAGCAGAAACATAACTATCAACAGTATGCCTAGCCTTTTGGACAGCCCATTGTGCGAGCTAACCCAAAAAGAAGAGAGTTGGGTGCTCTGATATAACACAAGTGTAGAAAAGGATCAGAAATAGTGCTTGGGAGCAAAGCAATTAGACTTGCTTTCTTCTACCCGGTGATAAAAATCTAGGACTTTCTACTCTGTTAAGCTTATACTTCTCTGGTGTCATTACTTCATGTTTTCTATATCAGCCCTTTCTGTTTAAAAACAGCCCAATAGAGCACTTGTGGAGCTTCTTCGTGCAAACTGGTTAACACCCCACCCCCAAATAATTTGCAAAAGTGTCTTATGGTAGAACTGCAGTGGCTTCTTGCACGAAGTCATCTTGTTGTGGCTTACTAACATGAGTGGCGGGAATCACACATTTTCTGCCATAATGTGATTTGATGTTGGCTTCATGCAATGTGTAAACCCAGCCATCTGTAGCATAGACCATAAACCATAGTTGAAACATGGTACAGCACACTGTGTAAACCTAATCCATGCCAAGAGTTAACCTGACCATTGTTTTAGAGATAATACTACCCCATTAAGATACAACCAGAGTTAACATATGCACATGCACATACACATATACCCCACATATGTTGGACTGTAACTTCCTTAATCAACAATCAGCACACTGTGTTGTCCAGAATTATTGTATCTGGAAGGTGCTAGGTTGAAAAGATTGCCTCATCATGAGGGGAGAAGAAAAACAGTTTCTTCTAAGCACTGTTAGAGGATCAACCAGTAATTCTGAAGCCAATCAGGTCATCTGTATTCTTTCATGCTGCAAAGGAGGGAGAAATAGGGAATGGCGACCATGGGTGAAGATAAATCAGCAGTGCTCTTTCAGTGGGAGGAGGACCTTGCCTTGCCACCTTCCTGATGAGCTTTGTGGGCAGCTATTTCTACAAGATACTAAAACCAAATCAGTGGTGGCCCCATTGCCATCTGAACCCCAACCCAAAGGCATTTCCTGGTTAGGAGGGAATACTATACAGTCTTGTAAGAAAGGCCACATAAAGAAAGATCTGCTTCTAGGCTGATAATCTAGATATCCCACTCCAAAAGGAAAGGGGAAGGGGAAGGGGAAGGGGAAGGGGAAGGGGAAGGGGAAGGGGAAGGAAAGG